TTTCTAAGATTAATCCAACTTTGCATTCCTGGGATCAATCCAATTTGGTCCTGCTTCATTTTATTTATTTATTTTTTAAGAAAATACATCCTTAGATTTAGCTTTTTTATTTTTCTTTGGATGTTTTACTTCTGTATTCCTGAATCTGACCTATGAATTTCCTTTTTTTTCAGTGTCCTTTATTGTTTTGATGTCAGGGTTATATATATCTTATAAAAAAATATGAATGTGTTATGTTTTTTTTCTCTGAAAGAGTTTATATGTTATTGGAATCATCTGGTAAAATATGCCTGCAAACTTTCTGGGCTCCTTTTCTTCAGTTTATTAAGAAACTTACGTAGTCAATTCTGAAAGATAAAAGGCAAAGAGAAGAGGCTGTATTAGGTTATTAAGTATGAAATGTCCGATTTCCTTAAGTACTTAGACAGTTGGTATCTCTAACCTTTCACTTTGACACTTCTTGTTTTATTTTTATTGCAAAGGTACATCCTTGGTCTTTCAAATGCACATTTTGGCTTGTGGTTATCTTTCAAATTTTTTAGAGAAATTTTTGTGAAACCATGGATAAGTCAAAAATTTGTGTTCTTTTCTAACATGAGTTCCATGGTGGAACTAATGCAGTGCAGACAACTCAAGGTATCAATGAAGTGTTTGGGAAGGATGTGGCTAATGAACGTACAGTATGTCAAAGGTTTGAGAAGTTTCATTCTGGTTATTTTAATCTTGAAAATGAGCCATGTGGGTGACCTGAGACCAAGGTGGACAATTATGAACTGAAAGCTGTAGTGGAAGCGAATCCATTTCAACCTATGCATGAATTTGGAGCAAGGTTTGACGTTACTATTCTAGCAATATTGTACCATTTGAACCAAATGGGCAAAGTAAAGAAGCCAGATAAATGGGTTCCACATGCATTAAAACAAGCATCAGAAGAGAAATTATATGGAAGCTTGCCTTTCTTTGTTGTCATGACATAAAGGTGAACCATTTCTACACTGGATTATTACATGTGATGAAAAAGTGGATTCTTTTTGACAATCACAACTGTTAGGCACAATGATTGCATCATGATGAAGTGCCAAAACACAGTCCAAAACTGAATATTCATCAAAAAAAGCTAATGGTATCTGGTGGTCCAGCGCTGGTATTATCTACTACAGCTTCATGAAATCTGGTCAATTGATAACAGCAGATGTCTTCTGCAACCAGTTGGATGAAATGATTGAGGATGCTTGTGATTAAGCAGCTGAGACAGGTCAACAGAGACAGGCCAAACCTCTTGCAGGACAATGCTTGACCACATGTTGCACTAACAACGCTGCTCAAACTATAGAAGCTGGACTTGGAAACTTTCTGTCATCCACCATATTCACCAGACCTTGCACCAACTGACTACCACTTCTTCCAGGCTTTGGACCACTTCTTGCAAGGAAAACATAATTAATTCTCAAAAATATCTAATTCTCAATAAGCTGTGGAAAACACCTTTAGAGATTTCATCACCACTTGCTCTTCAGGCTTCTTCACTGCTGGCATAGACAAGCTACCATTGAGATGGCAAAACTGTGTTGATAGTTTAGATGCCTACTTAGATTAACTGTACTGCTTCTTGTTTGAAATATAATAAATTAAACTTTTGATTTGAAATCAGATATTTCATATTTAATGACCTAACAGATGATAAAATATATTGCAAAGCAATAGTAATTAAAATAGTGTAATATCAGCACACAGATAGACAAACAGACCAATGGAACAGAATAGAGAACCTAAAAACAAATCCATTTCATATAAAAATTGTTAATACTATAGAGATACATCATATTTAGTGGGACATACATTTACATTATTTAATAAATAATGTTAGGAAAACTTATTTTACATGAAGAAGCTAGAATCCTTTATCTCCAAATAGACTAAAGACCTAAATGTGAAAAAAATGTGAAAGTTGTCAGAATCAAAATGGTGTCATTTGTGTTAAAAACCCTGATATGCTCACAATGGAATATTAGTCCTAAAAAACGACAGTGAGCTAGTACCGTTTATGCTATCCTGGATTAAGCTTAAGCCCGTAATACAAAGTGAGACGACACAAGATCTGGAAAATGGGCTACACATCTACTCACCATCAAATTGGTACTGACTGACTAAAACTATGGTGCTCAAAAACGGTAGTGTTCAACAGGGATTTTGGGGGAGGAGACCCATATCTTAAGGAAGTGGCGAGCATTGTGGAGGGGAAGGATTACCTCTATCCCTTTTTAGGGAGAGGCAAAGATATACATTGTAACCAAAATGTCTGAAAAAAATCTGTAATCAGGAAGTGGGCAGGTGGAATGGGGGAGGAGGGGAAGGGTATGTACTTACACGGTAGGTGCGGTACACACCACCTGGAGGCTGGACACACTAGAGGCTCTGGCATAGCAGGGTGGGGGAGGGGGCAGGGGCAAGATATGTAACCCTAACAATATCTGTACCCCCATAATATGAAGTAATAAAAAACAAAACAAAACAAAAAAAACCCTGACAGACTCAGCAGTGACTCACGTCTGTAATCGTAGCACTTTGGAAGGCCAAAGTGGGAGGGTCACTTGAGTCCAGAAGTTTGAGACCAGACTCAGCCACATAGAGAGACCACATCTCTACATATAATGAAAATACTAGCCAGCCTTGGTGGTACACAACTACAGTCCCAGCTACTTGGGATTCTGAAACAGGAGGATTGCTCTAGCCCAGGAGTTGGAAGTTGCAATGAGCTATGATGATGCCACTGCACTCTAGCCCAGGCAACAGAGTGAGACCCTATCTCTAAAAGCAAAACAAAACAAAATAAAACCCTGACAAATAGAGCCAGGGAAGGCCACAAAGGGAGGGTTCTCATGCTTGTATGCCTGATAACAAGAACTATCACAAAAGACTCTGTAAAAAACACAACTTTGCACAAAGGCCCTTGCAACCTTACATACAAAAAAAAAAAACATACTTCTGCAAGGATATGTGCCCAGCAACTGCCTGTCCAACCTCGGACTGGTGCCACCCTTGTTACTGCTCCTGGTAGCCAAGGATAATTATCTCAAAACAATTATGTAGTCTTCCTCATTTTTCCTTTAAAAAACCTTTGCCTTCCTTTACCTCCCTGAATATGCACATAGTTTACTATGGTGTACATATTACCATTGTAATGCTCTATTCCCAAATAAACATCATTCTATTTTAGAGAGCCTCTGGACAGAGAAGAATTTCTAAAACAAGACTTCAAAAAAAGCACACTCTTTAAAGGGAAAAATTAATAGATATGTCTGCATTAAAATGAAAAATGGGTCTCCAATTAAGGACTTTACTGATAAAGTTAAAAGGGAGGTGACAGACTGGGAAAAGATTTGCAACTTTTGTAACATATAAAGGATTAATATTTAGAATAGACAAGCAAATACAAATCAACAAGTTAAAGACAAAGAGTAGTGTAGGAAAAAAACTGGCAATAGTTGCAAATAGTTGATGCAAAAAATAAATAATTGGAGTAAGAGATGTTGAACTTCACTATCAGAAAAATGCACAATAAAACAATACTGAAATACCATTTTAAATTAATCAAATTGGCAAAAATTACAGTGTGGGTAATTGACAAACCTCATGCTGAAGTTATATTGGTACAATCATTTTGAGTAATCTTTCAGTTGAGTCAAAAATTGTAGCCCTACCATTGGCCCACATACAGAGGATATTGAATAAACAAGACCAATCTCTTACCACAACAGGAGTAACCTAGAAGGCTCTGCAGAATTGCTTCACTCAAAAGGAGGGCTGGAGTGTCACATCAACAGACAGCACAATCTCACAACAGCTCCAACTGAGCTGTCCAAGGTTCTGACCGCCATATCTCTCCCCCAGCCCCCTAGATGACTTAGTCCTTAAGTTGTTTCTGACATTCCTGCCCATGTGTTCAGACTACCCTCTGTGCTTCACTGTCACCAGTGCTCTTACCAATTACAATTCTCTTACCAATTACTTCCTGGATCCCTGCTGGCCGGGTCAGTGGTACCAAAACTTATCTGCTCTATAGTTAAAATGTTGCTACAAATAGCAAACAATTAATAGATTGTTTAAACCAGGGGTCCTCAAACTTTTTAAACAGGGGCCAGTTCACTGTCCCTCAGACCGTTGGAGAGTGCGCACTGTGGGCCCAGGACGAGTCGGCTGCTAAGCAGGGTGGGCAGCCGTGGCAAAAACACCCGGAGGGCTGAATAAATGTGCTAGGTGGCCCGCATGTGGCCCATGGGCCGTAGTTTGAGGACGCCTGGTTTAAACCATATATTTTTAAATCATTTTTATTTTAGTAAGTTTAAAAGAGAATAACTCAATGAGAGAGAGAGGAGAGGCAAAAAGTGAACAATGAAAATGAGAAACAAAGAGGAAGAACATGAGATGAATACCAAGCTTTAGAAAGTAAGCTCCATACAGGCAGGGATTTTTACCTGTGTTGTTCACTGGTAACCCCCTGTGTCAAGAATAATTCCTAGCATATAGTAAGTGGCTTACTAAATATTTGATGAACAAATAAACGAATGGGCATAGATATACAGGAAACACATCTTCAGATCCATTTTGTGGCCTTTCAGACTACTACGATTCAAACCTATTAAACTGTTTTGTAACTCTGAATATAAGAAAGTTATCATCTATGTTATCTACGCTAAGCTCCCCCAATTTTAGACACATAAATACTGTAGTTTCAATTATTTAACTAAATGAAGTCTTTTTCTTTCAGATTTTTCCAGTCTGTTAATTCATCAATTTGACTTCAAATCTTGTTTTCATTATTCTTTATGGATTTCATTAGTTTCCATCTTCAGATATGAATCCCTTTCACATAACCCATAAAGACCCCCATCTTAACCTGTATTTGCCTGATCTTAGAAACCAGTCAGTAACAAAATATAACTTTTTAATGAACTATACTTTTAAATGTCATAAATTCTTAAAATATTGACCCTGCTTACCTGAGAATATGGAATGAGTGTTTCAAATTGTTGGTGAAGTTCCAGTAACTGAATTAATTCTACATTTTTTTTGGCCTTTTCTGTAACTGAATCAATATAAATGTCAGGATTTTCTGCAAATGAATGTGCAGCATCTCTAGTATTGAAAGTGTAATACTTTTCTTTATGTTTCAAAATTCCAATTGCTGGATTTCCTGAATATTAAGACAAAGAATTGAATTAGACATGGAATATCTTAATCATAAGAAATATTAAATGATTCTATGTTTGTAATACACCCATAGAACCAGTCCCTATACATTCCATTTTTAACATATCACTAATGCTTTTATTTTACTAAAATGTTATATTAATAATTAGCAATTTAAAATCATATATTAAGTGATATTTCATGTGAAATTCATTTTTTATTTTAAAGTATATTATGCAAAAATACTTTCTACTCTTCAGATATGTTTAAAAATCTCCTATCAAAAGCCATTTAGGGCCAGCGCAATGGCTCATGCTTGTAATTCTAGCACTCTAGGAGGCCGAGGCAGGAGGATCACTCAAGGTCAGGAGTTCGAAACCAGCCTGAGCAAGAGCCAGACTACTAAAATTTTCTCTCTACTAAAAATAGAGAGAGGCCAGGCGCGGTGACTACAGGCATGCCTGTAATCCTAGCACTCTGGGAGGCCAAGGCTGGCGGATTGCTCGAGGTCAGGAGTTCAAAACCAGCCTGAGCAAGAGCAAGACCCCGTCTCTACTATAAATAGAAAGAAATTACAAAAAATTAGCTGGCATGGTGGCGCATGCCTGCAGTCCCAGACTTGGGAGGCTGAGGAAGGAGGATTGCTTGAGCCCAGGAGTTTGAGGTTGCTGTGAGCTAGGCTGACACCATGGCACTCACTCTAGCCTGGGCAACAAAGCAAGACTCTGTCTCACACACACACACACACACACACACAAATATATATATATATATATATAGAAAAAAAATTAATTGGCTAACTAAAATATATAGAAAAAATTAGCCGGGCATGGTGGCACATGTCTGTAATTCCAGCTACTTGGGAGGCTAAGACAGGAGGATTGCTTGAGCCCAGGAGTTTGAGGTTGCTGTGAGCTAGACTGATGCCACAGCACTCTAGCCCAGGCAACAGAGTGAGACTCTGTCAAAAAAAGAAAAGAGTCATTTAGTCCTGGCAGATTTTTAGATCTACTTAAAAACTAAACTAATTGCTATAAGGATTGTTTTTAAAATAATTCTGTAAGAACTACAAAAATGAGACATCTTTTCCAAAATGTAAATTTGCATGTTAGAAAATATTTCCTACTGTAAAAAGATACTAGATAGACTATAGATTATTAAACAGCCACAGATTGTGAAAATTATACAGGAAATCGCAATACTCTCTTATTCATTTATTCAACAAATATTTATTGACCCTGTTCTTGGTGCCAAGGATATTAAAGAAAACAGTCTTTGCTCTCAACAAATCACAAATATATCACAGTCTACAGAATGACCAGTGCTATGGGGAAAAAATCAGGTTAAACACATAGTGAAAAGAAGAAGAGTGAGATTGATATTTGAAAAAGGCTGAATGAGATGAGGGAGTAAGACATGTAGCTATCTGGGATATAGAGCTTTCCAAGTAGCTGGGACACCAGGTCAAAGGCTCTGAAGTGAAAACGGGCTTAGAATGTTCAAGAACAGCCAGAAGGCCAGCACAGCTTAAGTAGAGTGACTTCACTTAAGTCAGTGAAGTCATCTGAAAAGGACCCTGACTGGTATGCCACAGTGTCGTCTCAGGATTTGAGCCATGTGGTCTGCTGTCCTGAACAAAAGGAAGGAAGTCCTATGAAATTCCCCTGAGGTAATACATGCTGCTGCTGCCCAGAAAATAATGTAGTAAGCAGAAATACCATAGTAAACAGAAATAAAGTTGTCTGAACTAGCTTATTCAGAGAGGAGTCTCAAACCATAGCCCCGAAGCCCTTCTATTTTTTCTATTTCTCCCTCTTTCTTAAAACCATAGTGGGTGGAAAGTGGAAGGAACGACACAGACCTCCTGGTTGATCCTTTTCATTTTCCTAGGAGGAAAGTGAGGTCTACAGCAGGCAAGAGATTTGCAGTTCACTAATGACACAAACTGGAACTAGAAACCAGGCTTTCCTGAATCCAAGGCCATAACTTTTCCAACCACATCATGCTACTTCTGTTGTCACCCCACATACACGTTTCTCTGTGTGTATATCCCTCATGACACCCTTCCCTTCTTACTGGTGTAGAAAGGAAGGAAGGGAAGGAGGGAGAAGAGAAGAAAAGAAAAGTGAAAAGACAAGACAAGACAAAAGAAACACAAACTACCTATATTCCATTGTTTTTTACTTCTGCATAGCTCTTGCTTTCTCCCCAGTATCAGTGACTCTCACTGGACCTCAGAATACCATTATCTCAGTTCCCCATGGTAAACCTTTTGTTATTCCCATTATGAAAAATGTAATACCATAAAAAATGAGCCAATTTGTGTGTTCTCTCTAGCCTATATGCACACAATCTTAATAATTCTTTAAAATGAAAAAAGTAATGCCCAATTGAGAAACATAACAAAAGAAATAAAGAAAACAACAAAGAAGAAAAAGAAGGTTAATGGTGTAAAGTAAATAAGAAACAACCTTGTCAAATTGTTTTCATTCTAACCCTAGCAGGCTTCTTGTTATTCTCAATTCATACAGCACCTTTTGGACAATAATTTTTTTATCTCAATGTCTGATTTACTTTTTACTTTGGAAAGCTCTTATAAATAATATATACATCATAGAGAAATTTTACTTGATAAAATATTGGTCATTTCCTTAGAAGGATCTAACTTATAGAGAAATCCTTAGCTATGCTAATGAAACATAATTACAAAGCGACAAAAAATATTTTTAAATAAACAGTCAAATAAGTGTTGGTCTTTCAGTAATTACTTTGGAAGATGATGTATTTTTAGTAATGTTGTATAACATTTCTGGAATCCTTCGCTGGGCTTGAGTCATCCCCTTTCCATGGGACTGCAGCATCCATATTTCATAATACATATACACATTTTATAACTTATCATTTATTATTGCTTATTTATGTCAGTCTACCAGATTATACTATGAGCAGCCCCCAAGATCAACACATCGTCCGGATCATCTTCGTTGCTCCTTTCCTAGTTTACTACTTAATTCCACAAAGTGTTAAAAAGTAAATATGTGAGTCACAATGACAATGCTCTACATAACAAAAAAAATTAGGGAAGGGAGAGCAATATTATTTGCAATGATATACCTGGAAGGAGAAGACCATTTGTTGTAGCAAATGTGTAAGCACAAAATCCCCGATACTGAATTAACAATTTATCAAAATTTGCTGTGGTTTCTGGGAAAAGCCATTCTAGTTTGCTGAAATCCGATGGACATACTCTCTCTCCTAAAATGAAAGAGGAGAACAAGAAAAGCTTATATTCAGTGAGAAGGTTAAATGTCCTAAATAAATCAGTAGTAGCTCATTATAAACATTAACTTTTTATTGCTTTGTACTTTTGCTAATTGACAAAAACTTGACACTCACAAAACCAGATTTATGGGGAGGGCTGTTCAAGCAAAGAAGTACAAATCACCTCAGTGACTGGTTGGAGGTCACACAGGTTTCTGGAGCAAAGTTGGAGGCAGAACTTTGCTCCACAATAAAGAACATACAGGAGAGGCCATTTCAGAAAAGCAAGTTTTGCCACTAAAAGAAATGCTGACTGAGGCACTTCTGAAAGGATATGTGGTGCTTTCTGCTGCTGCAGAGTAAATAACCCAAGCAAATGAGCAGAAGAGACTGCTAGTTTGTGACCAAGACTGAGATAGATGAACTTCATTCAAGATGGTGTAGCTCTTAATAATATATTAGGTGGCAAAATACATTGCATATAATATAATACTTATATACTAGGACTATTGCTTCTTGAAACAGTAGAGAATGTTCTGAGCAAAAGTCAAGGAAATAACTCTTAATAACTTGATTTTGATAACAAGGTGTGCAATTTTTGTTCTTTATACTTTTAAAAATTTTTCCTAGTGTTAGTTGGTTCACCAATTCACATTTGATAAACAGATTGAATAAATTTTTTATACAAATAATACCTTGTATTTATAAAACATTGTTCCCCAAGTTTCTTAGCTTTCATAATCCTATCTAGTCTTCTATGCCAGGTTCTAAACCCAACAAACAAACATCACAAATGATATTGTGGCTACATCTAAAAGTAAATACATAATTTGGAGAGAATAAACCACCTTTTTTTTCCTGATATGCCTGAAAGCCTCCAACAATAAGGTGTAGCAGGTGTAAATTAAATTCTTTTAGGAGAATATTGGTTTTTACTCGTTCTCTAAATTCACTGCAGCAGTAACTGGATAAAAGTATTCTACTGAATAAAAAGTTATATAGTGGGAAATAACACAACTCAATTTAAGAAGTTGCAAGTAAACTGTCTTGCTGATATGGTTGAGTTTAATACCCACCACTGAAACTACTTTAACTTCAATCTCATTTAATATTTGCTCAGATATGCTGTGTTAATGAAATGAAATAAGTAGTAAAAACTTGAACTGAAAGGATGCTTTTGAGTCTCTGATTTCGTTTTTGGTTTTTATGTATTCTAGTAGTTTAAGAAATCATTGCTATATTTTTATTTTCCATTTTAATGAAAACAGAATTTGAAAATTCATAGAGTAAGCCACCTAATTTCATTTTATGGAAAAACTCTCTTTCTAGGCAACAACCCAAGTCCCAGACTCTTATTGTTGTTTCTCATGAATTTTGTCTTTAGCTAATAGAGAAGAGACCAAAAAGGTAAAAAGTTTACTAATAAAGATAATCTTTATGTAAGAATCAATGCATCTTTTAAAGGACCTAAAATAAGCTCAATTAATCTTACAGGGATAAAATGTATTAGTTTATAAATTCTCAACTTGAATCTGAGGTAAATAAATAACATTCTAAAGAAATGGAGCTTCATTTGTAACAAATATTGCAAGGATTAATATTTCTTTTTCTATAACAAATCAATAATAAAATCACTAGGCCTGCAATAGAAACACATATGGGCAAAAAAATCATTGTTAACCAAAACATTAATAATAAAATGGTCTTTGCTGGATAGTAAGTTACTCAGTTTATATATTTTCTGTTTTCCACATTTCCTATAATGAACATTAGTACTTTATAATCAAGAAAGATATTTAATGCTTTATAAGAAACATATAACATGAAAATTTTAAAACAAAAGAGTGACTTTATTCTAGAGGTAATTTTAAGAAGAGGAAATAATGGATGATTTTCATTACCCATGTGTTCTTTCATTCTACACACATCAGTTTTCACAGTTATTCCATTGAGAAGATTTTGTATTATTTTTTCAGGAAAGAGTAGTTCATGAGCACCCAGGAATGGCTCAAGGTGAGTGGCTAAACTACTGAGGACACTAATCAAAATAGTTTCATCCTGAAGGCTAGTCCACAGAGTGGCAAGTGAAATGAAAATAGGCTGTGGAAGAGAAAAAATAAGTTAAAAATGTAATTGTACAACAAAATTATAAATCATTGTATTCTTAAAAATAAAGAAAATTGTCATTTATAAAGAAATTAATTCTTAAGTCAAGCAAGTCTTATGAAGTTAGATAACAGACTCTAGATAGAAGTTTGACTTATAAATCATGAGAAAATTATTTCAAAGCATTTCATTTTGATATGATTATTATATATAAAGTTAATTTATTTTAAAAAGCCACTTTAAAAAGTTCACAAACACATGGGAACACCTAAGAAAGATTTATGGACACCTCATCTCAAAAAGCTAAGGGTAAATATCTTTAAAAAAATAAAGCTAAATATGATTCATTATAATTAGATTTATCTGGCTCAATCATGATTATGGAAAGTATAGAGATATTCATGTCTTAGGGCATGTCTTTTGAGCTACAAGTTAAAGATTTTAGGTTAGTGAGATAAAATGTTTCTTATTCATATTAAAATTCTGATATCATATCACACGGATACCATGAAAATACAAAATATCATCTATAAATTCTATAAAAACCTCTAAGCACATAGACTTGAAAATGTGAAGGAAATGGCCAAATTCTTAGAAACACACAGCCTCCCTAGGCTCAATCAGGAAGAAACAGAATTTCTGAACAAATCAATTTCAAGTACCGAAATTGAAGCAGCAATAAAAAACCTTCCTTAACAAAAAGTCCTGGACCAGATGGTTTCACACCAAAATTTTATCAGACCTACAAAGAAGAACTGGTGTCTACTCTGTAGAAAAAATTCCACAATGTTGAGAAGGAAGGAATCCTCCCCAACACGTTTTATGGGGCCAACATCACCCAGATACCAAAACCAGGAAAGGATCCAACAAAGAAAACTAGAGACCAATATCCCTTATGAATATAGATGCCAAAATTCTCAATAAAATCCTAACAAACCAAATTCAGGTGTTTATCAAAAAAATAATCCATAACGACCAAGTGGGCTTCATCCCAGAGATGCAGGGATGTTCAACATACACAAATCTATAAATGTAATTCACTGCATAAATAGCACTAAAAACAAAGATTATATAATTCTCTCAATAGATGCAGAAAAGGCATTCAACAAAATTCAGCACCCTTTTATGATAAGAACGCTTAACAAAATGGGCATAGATGGGACGTATATAAAAATGATAAAAGCCATATATGACAAACCCACAACCAAAATCATACTGAACAGGGAAAAACTGAAAGCATTCCTGTGTACAACTGGACCTAGACAAAGTTGCCCTCTGTCACTGCTTCTATTCAACATAGTGCTAGAAGTCCTAGCCAAAGCAATCAGACAAAAGAAGGAAATCAACGGCATCCAAATGGGGGCAGAAGAGGTCAAACTATTGCTCTTTGCCAACGATATGATCTTATATCTAGAAAACCCAAAAAAATCTGCCACAGGACCCCTGGAATTGATAAACAAATTCAGCAAAGTCTCAGGTTACAAAATCAATGTACACAAATCAGTAGCATTCATATATGCCAACAATAGTCAAACTGAGAACCAAATCAAAGACTCAATACCCTTCACAATAGCAACAAAGAAAATAAAATACCTAGGAATATACTTAATTAAGGAGATGAAAGACCTCTACAGGGAGAACTATGAAACACTGAGGAAGGAAATAGCAGACGACATAAACAGGTGGAAAACCATACCATGCTCATGGATTGGCAGAATCAACATTATTAAAATGTCTATACTACCCAAAGTGATCTACAGATTCAACACAATCTCTATCAACATAACAACATCATTTTTCGCAGATCTAGAAAAAATAATTCTATGCTTCGTATGGAACCAGACAAGGTCCTATATAACAAAAGCAAGCTTAAGCCAAAAGAACAAATTGGGAGGCATCAATTTACCAGACTTCAAGCTATACTACAAGGATATAGTTACTAAAACAACATGATACTAGCACAATTACAGAGACATAGATCAATGGAACAGAACTGAGAACCCAGATACAAAACCATCCTCATATAGCCATCTAATCTTTGACAAAGCAGACGAGAACATACACTGGGGGAAAGAATCCTTATTAAATAAATAGTGCTGTGAAAATTGAATAGCCACATATAGAAGACTGAAACAGGATCCACACCTCTCACCTCTCACAAAAATCAACTTATGCTGGGTAACAGACTTAAACTTAAGGCTTGAAACTATAACAATTCTGAAAGAAAATGTTGGAAAAACTCTTACAGACATTGGCCTAAGCAAAGAATTTATGTAGAAGACCCCAAAGGCAATCACAGCAACAACAGAAATAAATAAATGGAACCTCATAAAATTAAAAAGCTTCTGTACAGCCAAGGAAACTATCATGACAGCAAACAGACAACCCACAGAATGGGAGAAAATATTTGCATACAAAACATCCGATAAAGGGCTGATAACTAGATCTATATAGAACTCAGGAAAATCAGTGAGGAAAAAAATCAAACAACCACATTAAAAAGTGGGCAAAGGACATGAACAGAAACTTTTCAAAAGAAGACAGACTAATGGCCAACAAAAATATGAAAAAATGCTTAACATCTCTAATCATCAAGGAAATGTAAATCAAAACCACAATGAGATCACTTAACTGCAGTGAGAATGGCTTTTATCAAAAGTCCCAAAGCAACAAATGTTGGTTTGCATGTGGAGAGGTAGGAACACTCATACACTGCTGGTGGGACTGCAAACTAGTACAACTTCTATGGAAAGTAATGTGGAGAAACCTTAAAGAGCTAAAAGTCGAACTATTATTTGATCCAGCAATCCCCATACTGGGTATCTACCCAAAGGAAAAAAAGACATTCTATAAAAAAGACATCTGCATTCCAATGTTTACAGCAGCACCATTCACAATTCAAAGATGTGGAAACAACCCAAGTGCCCATCAATACCTGAGTGGATTAATAAAATGTGGTATATGTGTACCATGGAGTATTAGCCACAAAAAACAATGGTGATCTAATACCTCTTGTATTATCCTGGATGGAGCTGAAGCCCATTCTACTAAGTAAAGAATGGAAAAACAAGCCCCACATGTACTCACCATCAAATTGGTATTAATTGGTCAACACTTATGTGCACATAAGTAGTAATATTCATCGGATGTCGGGCAGGCGGGATGGGGCAGGCGGGGATGGGTATATTCACACCTAGTGGGTGTGGTACGCACTGTCTGGGGGATGGACACACTTGAAGCTGACTTTGGTGGGACAAAGGCAATATATGCAACCTAAACATTTGTATCCTCATAATATACTGAAATAAAAAAAATTAAAAAAAATAAAAATCATCAACTTATATATAACAAACAAAAAATCAATCAGGCACCACATAAAAGTTAAACAACTTAGCCTCTTGTTTCTTGGTTTTTAAAACCAAACATTGGTAATAATTGCAGAAAGTTCTTAGAGCCTCAAATGCTCTACACAATACTGCATGTACATTTTATACCTCCTTGCACAGATAAATGTTGCCAGGTTTGTCCACAAAATGGTGCAGATAATCAGAAAGTCAATATAAGTGAAGGCCTGGTAAACAAAGTGATTGTTATCTGTCTTTTCGGAAAAAAGTTACATCCTCCCTGTGCTAGAGGCAATTTCCAAATAGCTAACATGAACACATTTCTCAACATGGTACTATGGATTACTTCTGTTGCCACAACCAATGCTTGTATTATGGTTATCATACTGTATGCCTGCATTTCCTTTAGTAGGCATTGCGTTATGTAGGGGAATTTTCTCATACAACTTACAGCATACTATTACTACAAAATAATCATAAAAACAAGATCAACTTCTGTAAAACTAATGTTATATTTTTAGTAATTACATATAATTATAATGACTTCTGATCCAATTTTATAGGACTCAAAAGGACGCCTTCACCAAGTCAAAGTTGATGACAAATACTTACAAAGACCTGTGATGTTGGGACAGCTGTCTTTGATTTTACAGTCAGTTTTAATTGCTCCAGTTGGGCTCGTAACTGACTTATCACCAATTCCAATTCTTGAGTACAAGTAATTATTTCAGACTATGAAGACAACATGAGTTGCATTAATATTTTAATAATTTCAGTATAAAAATCATGTGTTAAAGCCACACTTCCTCCCCATGTCCCCTGAGAGTAAGCTAAGTGACAGCATGGTCTGTTCTTCGTGGCATCCCCAACACTTAGAATAGTACTGGCATGTGTGTGGTGCTCCAAAAGTATTGGTGGGATGGATGAACCTTTTGAAATATAGTGGGATATAATTTTCTCAAATGTATATAGGTATTCTTAGATATTAAATCTCATTGCATTCCTATGAAATGAATCCATAAAAATCCACTTTGTTTAGCTATATAGGTCTTATTTTCTCATTCCTCAATGATAAAATGAAGTGCTCCTCTGAAAACTATTTTGATAACAAGATTTAATAAAATCACATTGAAAGCCATTAGGAGCAAGCCAGTGGGGCACTGTAGCTTGTTGGGCTAATGGGATGGCAGACAAGGAAGAAGACCCCACCTGTAATGTATGATTATGGTTTGAGGATGACCAGAAACCTTATACTGAGTCAGTAGATATTTCTGAATAGTTTGTCATAGAGTTCATCACTGAAATGACTTACAAAGCAATATTAATTGGAAGACAAGGTCACATACAATTTGAAGATATTGTTTTCTTTTTCTTTATTTTATTTTATTTTTTGAGACAGAGTCTCACTTTGTTGCCCAGGCTAGAGTCTCACTTTGTTGCCCAGGCTAGAGTGAGTGCCATGGCATCAGCCTAGCTCACAGCAACCTCACACTTCTGGGCTCAAGCAATCCTACTGCCTCAGCCTCCTGGGTAGCTGGGACTACAGGCATGCGCCACCATGCCCGGCTAATTTTTTCTATACATATTAGTTGGCCAATTAATTTTTTTCTATTTTTAGTAGAGACTGGGTCTCCCTCTTGCTCAGGCTGGTTTCGAACTTCTGACCTCGAGCAATCCGCCCACCTCGGCCTCCCAGAGTGCTAGATTACAGGCGTGAGCCACTGTGCCTGCCTGGCTAATGTCGTTTTCTTCATTCAAAAGGACTCAAGGAAGTTTATTAAGGTTAAAGACTTGCTTCCTATGAACACAGAATTGAGATGAACTAGAAAACCATAAGAAGCAAACTATGGACCTTGACACTTTTTGTACTGTCTGAAATTTCGTTATCTTCTGGAAAACCTATATATTAATGGTAACTGTATATTTTCTAAAGTAAGATTCTGATATATAGCCATATAAATAAAAGATGGAGAAACACAAAGTTTTCAGCCTTTATTTTCATACCTTCAATTTTAGAGTGATCTTTGAGCCTTTAATTGCCTGCCTTTATGTGACTATATTTGAATTACTTATTGGGTTTCAGTCATCACACAAAGGTTAAAGTACCTTGGAAACCATGCAGCATGTTCTGACTTTTGACTGTCTAAAGGATGAAGTAGTATTTATGTAGGTATATTTGTTGCATTGTAAGCTATACTGTAGCTATTGAATACGTCAAATCTAAATGGCATATTTGGCTCTATGATAGCTGGACCATGAGCTTCATGTATTCTGAAGTTTTTAGACAACAGTAGTCTGAAAGGTTGTTAAAGGTAGTGACCTGGTTTGTATTTCTTCTAAGGAGATGATATAGCCCAAAAACCTAGCTCTTAACCATTACACTGAATAGCCTAACATGTAACCAGAAATGGTATTGGTGAGGGTTTATCTTGTATGGTGTAAAAGAATTACATTTATTTGAAGAGAAAAAAGTGCATTTGAATTCTCAGACATCTATAGCCTAATTAAATGCTTTCTGGACTATTTTAAATGACAAAATAATTACTTCATAAGAAAAATCAAGTATTATTATTGTATTTCAACTAACAAATTTTTATTCATAAATGTAACACTCATCCTGTTTTAATTTTACTGATACTGCTGTTTAACATTTCCCCCTCTCTTGCTTTATTCTCCCAAACAATATTATCTATTCTATCTAATAGATTTCTTGTCCACCCCACAGAATTTTTTCTCCCTTGTTTGTTAGTACCATTTTAGGAATCAAATATAAAAATGTAGTCGTTAAAGTCTTTTTAGATTTGTGCAACAGCAATAAGAAATAGAATGAAATTTGCATGTTCTCCAAAGTGAAAGTTGTATTTGACATATAACATTTACTTTAAAGCCTATACTTAAAGATTCTCTAGATCCCCTCCCCCAAGCTATGTTTGTAGGGTCCATTCAAAGAATAGGCACACAGAACTTCTGATTTTTTCTGATAATGTCCTATTCAGCAGTCCCCAACCTTTTTGACAACAGGGATCGGTTTTGTGGAAGCCAGTTTTTCCACAGATGGGGGGTGGGCAGGCTGGGGGGGGCAGGGAATTCGTCGCTGCCTGAGCTCAACCTCAGATCCCGAGGCATTGGATTCTTAGGGGGAGAGAACAACCTGGATCCCTCAATATGCGGAGTTTGCAGTGGGGTTCGTGCTCCTGCAGCTGATCTGATGGGGGCGGGACTCGGGTGGTGATGCCAGCGATGGGGAGCAGCTGTGGGTGCAGGTGGGACTTTGCTTCCTCACCCACCGCTGGCCTCCTGCTGTGCGGTGCAGCCTAGGGGTTGCAGACGCAGTCCTACAGCAATCATTCTATTTACATTTTACCAAATGTAAAACATGTAGATTTCACAACATGTAGAGTTTTCAGTTATAATATTAACAACCAGTTATAATATCACAACAGTCAAATGGCTTGGAAAAGCATGTGATCCCAGCATGTTTCTTTGTCTCCTTTCCTCTACTTTCCCTCCACTCCTTTAAAAAAAAATTTGTAAGTTTCTCATACTTTCTACCATGGACAATTTTCAACAAGTTTAGGCAAACTCATAGAAGCAGAGAATGGAATGATATTTTCTAGAGACTAGAGGAAAGGGGAGTTGCTATTCAACAGCCATAAAGTTTCAGTTAGGTAAGATGTATCTGCTAAGATCTGTTGTCCAACATAGTTAGCAATACTGTATTGTTACTATAATTGACAATACTGTATTGTAAGCTCAAAAATATGTTAAGAAGGTAGATCTCATGTTTAATGTTCTTATTACTATGAAAATAATAAGATAAAATGAAATAGAATAAAATAAGTACAAATTCCATCTAACTGATTTTTACTTGCATTATTAGGAAATATCAAGAAGCCCTGTGTTGCCTCATCTGTAAATGAGCCCTGCAAGCATAGCTTGGGGGAAAAGAAGTCTTGATTTACAGGTTTTAAGAAATGTTCTGTCCAACACAACTTTTATTTGCATAATAAGAATAAGTGCCTTTGGTGACTGGCTTGCAATTCAAAAGCTCACAGAGGATGGAATTTTGTTTTCTCCACTAAGACTGTCAAGACTGTAATCACTGCTCCCTTTTATTTTCTCAAATATTTGAATTTGTTCACTAAAGCACATAAAAGCCTGAACAAAACAAAATAAAATAACTCACTATCTTACCCAGGCTATAATTGGATTTTTCAATGTTTACACAAAGTGAATGTGACTTTGGCAAGACAGAATTTTTTAAATCAAAATAATTTGACTTTAGAAAGAACATTCATAGATTTCAACATAGGAAAAAGTCTTGGCTAAATATAAATTGACATATTTTATAACCTAGAGCTAATATTGATTAAATCAATATCCATTCTGTAATAATCAACCTTAACTGTCACTAAGACAGATGGGGAAGTTTTAGATAGTTAAAAAACAAAACAACAAAAAGAAAGTCTCTTTGAGCAGCAAAGAGAAAGCCAAGAAAACTCATCCTGACTCTGCCTAAAGTCAGTATGAAGTAGCCATGAAGAGTACTAAGACAAGAAAGTTAACCCTCTCAATAACATGAACAGCAAGGAGCTTGGAGATGAGATATTGTTTGGAAAAATAAAAGCTCTTCAGCTTTTTCCTCTACCAAAATGAAATCAGAGCTGTTCAGGTAAGGCCCTAACAATGATGATGATGATGGTAATCATAAACATCATCATCATCATCAATTTAGTGAGTGCCAGACACTGTTGTTCTACCTTATTTTCATAGTGGAGACCACAAATCACCCCATTTTAGAGACATGGAAACCAAAGCACAGTGAAGTTAAGTAACTTCCTTAGAGACACAGATGATTTAGTAGTTGCAAAGCCAGGATTAGAACCCAGTAGTCTGGCTGCAGAGCCCACACTCAACACTTCTACATTCTACTCACTGTCTCTCTCCAGCTGGGAGAGCTGGAATGCCAATGAGAATTTAAGACTAAGTTAGTTGGTTTAATATGATTCACAACTGGAAGCTGTGAGAAGATAATACATAATAAATGACATATTTTGCAATATCCTTACAGTATGTGTGGGACACTTTCCCAAGGTTTTTTTTCATAATATCCTCTCTGAATGCAGATGACAAAAGGGAATGTGAGGCTCTACTCCTGTGGATCCATGTGCATTTCAAAATAAATTGATTATAAAATCCTCTTAGTACCTGACTAGTTACATAACGCTGATAATCACAAGTCAATGTTAAAGGAACATCTACCCAAAAGGACGATTTGGTTTTGAATAGCTGATTTAAAGTCCTTCCTTCAGAAGGCAATTAGATAGTAGGCTAGTTGTGAGGGCAACCCCTAGTTTGTTACAAAGAAGTCATGTCATCAGGATGTTTATCTCTTTATTCTCTATAGTTAGGTAAGGAGAGAGGACAGACCAACTGCATGCAAAAGTAGTATCACGCCATTAAGATACAAGTTAAAAAGAGGGGTCAGAACACATTCTATTCTATCCCTCAAGAAATTAGTATTCATTTATACAAAAGGCAGTTCCACTGATAATCACCCTATCAGCTACCAAAGAAATAAATAACTATATGGCCGGGAACGGTGGCTTTATGCCTATAATCCTTGCACTCTGGGACGTCAAGGCGGGAGGATCACTCAAGGTCAGGAGTTTGAAACCAGCTTGAGCAAGAAGAGACCCCGTCTCTACTAAAAATAGAAAGAAATTAATTGCCCAACTAAAAATATATAGAAAAAATTAGCCGGGCATGGTGGCGCATGCCTGTAGTACCAGCTACTTGGGAGGATGAGCCCAGGAGTTTGAGGTTGCTGTGAGCTAGGCAGACGCCATGGCACTCTAGCCCGGGCAACAAAGTAAGACTGTCTCAAAAAAAAAAAAAAGAAAGAAAGAACTATAAAATCAATTTCTACCAGTATATTTTCATTGAAATCAAAACCCAACTTTCCTGTTTGTATTTTAATTCCTGGCCCCACCAATGCAATATAAACTGAGCAGTTATTGAGGTTGCCTCCTTATTTAGAGAGTTGGTTCTACCTGGTTTAGCCACACAATATTTAAAGAGATTGCATTATATGGAAAAGGCCAGATCTTCTGAAATTAACTCACCAAAATGATGTGAAGGAAGACCTCGTATTGTCGCACATTATATAGTGCTTCTTTTAACATATATGGCTTAAGATCAATACTCATGAGTGGGCTCTTTGCTGCTTTCTCAAGGATGGCTGTGTAGCGGTATGCCAGGTTCTGGGCAGTCTCAAGTTGGAAATCAATATGCTGAGTGGTGGCTGGGACTGCTTCATGTAGAATAGCTGGCACTGTTATTAATGGTATAAAAAGGCAGACATAAAAGAGTCTAAGAAAGGAATTAAGGAGAAAAAGCCTAGAAAGTAGTCACATTTTAAGGTTTTTTCCCCCAATCAAACTAATAATAATGAGGCATGTGTTCATGGGTCCCACACCATGAAGACAAGAATCCAAACAAAACCTTCCAAACATTGTCAGAATGATAACCAAAAGTTAGAGCAGATTAGCTCTTGCCAATAAAATATAGAATAGTTTAAAAAATAGGTAGACTTTGGTATTACATGTTGTTGCTCATGTGCTTCTATAAAAGCCACTATCCCCTCTCCCTCCTTCTGTGTATCTTCTTTTCTATTTGGAAAAAAAAAAAAAGCATGGCTTCTTAAGAAACTCGTGTGGCTGCTGAAAAATAACAGAATAGTCTATCTAGCAAGGGAAGGAAATTTATGAAAATGAGAATTGACTTTTTAGAACAGCTTTTAAAATGAAAAAAAAAAATACCCAATTAGACTAGATTATTGATCTGGTGAAAGACATTAACACTTTTATCAGTGGCCTATAGGAGTATCAAATTCATAAGGAAGTCACTTCTACTGGTAGATCCTTAATTAAATATTTCATAAGTATTTCAAACTTATGGATAAAGAATGCATTAACTAATAACAACATAGTAGATGCTGCTGAATTTAGACATTTGTACCAGCAACTGTTTTCATTTCAGGGTGATTTTTATTTTTTAAATCACTGAATTTTACTCCATTTGGTAATTTGACTTGGAGTAAAAAATGCAAAGCCTCACTGAATTGGGGAGACTAGCCTCTGGGAAAACCCCCTCATTCCTTTTACTGAGTCACTTTCTCATACTAGCTTCAAAATTTAAAATCTTGCCCCTGCAAAAGTAAAATTTACTACACATTACAAATAGCAGTTATTCCTAAGGAAGAATCAAAATTGTAAATCTTAAATCTCAGAATGCCAGTGGTGTGTTATTATTTTCTTCACTGTGCAAGCTGGATTTCAAACATATATAACCTTTAGTTAATCTAATGGTATACCCACAGTCATCAATGCCTTCTCCTCCTTTTCCACAGTCTTTGTTAAATAAACGAATTCCAGTAACAATCATGGCAAGTTCTTTCAGCTGGCGTTCTTTGTCCTTTTTAGAGAGAGTTAGAAATGTCCCAAGCTCAGCCTGAGGAAAAACACTCTGTAGGGCAGCTAAAAAAAACCACAAAAAAGGATACAAAATGATATCTTAAGATATGAGAACTTAAAGTACAAGTCTCTTTCTTTTTTTCAACAGAAAGTTAAAGAACTTGTCTTTCTAGGGTAACATATGATTCTTTAAATTTCTGATACTGGATTACAAAATACATAGCAAAATGTATCATACATCAAAGCTGAGCTACTGAAAATAATGTCATTGACCCGTGTCCATTTTTAATAGTTAAGTATCTATCAGTAATTTTTTTTCACAGTGGGCATTCAAATAAGCTTTCTACTTAGGGCTCTGAGTAGAAAAATCGACACTTTAAAATAATTATGAGAGAAAGCCATAAGAAGGCTGGACATCTTGCCTATTCCTCATGTTAAAGTATGAAACTGGGCAAGTATTTCCTGAGGATAAAAGTGTCCTTTTCCATCATCCATTTTAGGTGACACACTCAATGCCTTTCACCAGTATGAAATATCCCTTTCCAGCTGTCCCATTTACCCAAGCAGCCTGGAGCTCTCAGTCGTATTACCAATGTTTCTCTAATGAGGTGTAATGGGTCCTTAGAAATGTGCAGCTCTAAGAAAATTAGCAATATTTCACCTTCTAGAAGTGTTACTTGCATTTTAGAATCGACACACAGTGTAAAAGGAGTCTGGGTAAGTTTTAACCTCTTGTGGTTTTTGTTTTGTCTTGTTTTGTTTTTCCAGATAAAATGGGAACTACAATCTTTAACATTTCTAATTTAACATATTTAATAAAATACATGATCATATAGGATCATCATACTGTATATGATCATATATTTTTACCTATGGAATGGAAATTGTTTATGTCTTTTACCTGTTGCTTCTCTGACAATCTTGATGTCTGTCGGGGATCCCAGGCCGGAGCGCAGTAACACAAAGCTGACAATCTTCCGGTAGAGGCTTTCTAACTCTTCCTTAGTACATGCTCTGTTATCTGTAATTTCTCTGCTGACAGAGCTTATTCTAGAATCTAGGACCCGGTGATGTTCTTCAAGAAACTCATCTAAAATTGGCAAATAACAATGTTCCATATATTGGATATTTAGAAATTTTCTCACATAAGGACCAGAGAAAAACTGGCTTAAGTGTGGTAATTCTACTGCATGAAAACAAGTACTTTCGGAAGATAAAATAATGAAGTAAAAAACAGTGGCCAGCAAGTAACCTGAAGCCAGTGGGAAAGATTTATTACAGTGATTTCAATGGACTACTTTGTCAAAACACCTCAGACTTTAGACAGCCAATCCAAACAGTATATATCAGGAAGGGTGAAAACCTTCCAGTCAAGCAGAAAGTAGAAAAGACTATTTCTACAACATACATATGTATATATAATATATGTGAATATACATGTGTAATATATATTTATACTGTATGTAAGCCCATGTAGTATACTATATGTAAGCATATATATAGTAGTATAAATATATATGTGGTGTAGGTATTCCTCTTCAATTATTTGCATGTCTATTTTGGTTCTAGATAAATTTCCTCTGAATAGCATTACTGATAATATGATGTTGCCTCAAGAAATGTATCCCTCTCCTCTCTTTCTGTGACATGCTGAGGTATAGGCTTAATTGTGGCAGGAGACTAACTTTACTAGTAGTATAATTCCTGCAACTGATTCAATAAGACACTCCATATTACTATTACAACTATACAATAATTAATAGCAATCATGCACAGTTCATACCTATAATCTTACCACAAGAGCAACTGAGAACATTTTACAAATTAAAAAAAAGAAATTAAATATCATCAATTCCATGACTATTTCATTGCTTTAAAATTTTATTATTAACCAAAAAATATATATCATTTTACATATATAGCATAACTGAAATGCTAATACACGGAGAAAAAAGACAAAGAATATCACCAAATTGTTAATGATGACTGCATTATAGTAGGGGTAGGGGCCGTATATAAAGGAATTTATTTTTCTTTTTCTCTTGTTTCCAACTTGTCTTTAATGTGTGCATTAAATTATTTACATAATGAAATATATTCTAAACTTAAATTTCCCATCATTCATTCCATTTTGGGGTAGTTATATAATTTAGGTAAGTATTATGAGATAATATAAACCAGGAACAAAAAAAATCTACGAATTAAAAACTTTCAACTTCAATAGGCTGGTTGTTTTAGTTTCTAATTATTATGTTTTAGTGCCATTAAGGTTAAAAACACAATAGATTTGGAAATGATAATTATTACAAGCATAATAATTTCAATTGACTATTAATATTCATGAAACTATTGGTGTTTTTCCCATTTAGCCTTTCCAACATTATTACATTCTTTAAAGTTAGAAAACAAAAGAGTTTGTTTTCTTTCAAAATCTTCCAAAAGATTGACATAAAAAATTGTTAAATTCACCAAACAATTGAGTTGTCAACCAAATGAAGCCCTTCTATCTGAAATACAATATGAAATCTTTCTGGAAAAGTATTAAAATAGGTAGATGTATGTTACCTCGACGTGTAAAATTCAAATCAAAGTAGACTTGCATCTTAATGGTGTCCAGGGATGGATTTTTACTATCCAATAGCCGAGTCACACAAAGCTAGAAAAGAATGGCCCATGAATGCTTCTAGTTACATTTTCTAAAACACTCAAGAATTCTCTAAAGTTATTTTAAAAAATAAAGGGAACATCAAAGAAATAGTTCCTGATATTTATCCACTAATAACCCCTTTCATTATTTTTTTCTCCTTGAGAACATCAGGCTTTATATTTTATCCAATCAACAACATTTATTAAGTGATAAGTTGGGCTGGATGCAATGGCTCACGTCTGTAAACCCAGCACTTTGAGAGGCCAAGGCGGGAGTATTGCTTGAGACCAGGAGCTCAACACCAGTGTGGGCAAGATAACAAGATCCCATCTTTACTAAAAATAAGAAAAATTAGCTAGGTGTGGTGATGTGCCTCCGTAGTCCCAGTAACTCAGGAGGCTGAGGCAGGAGGGTCCCTTGAGCCCAGAAGTTTGATGTTACAGTGAGCTATGATCCCGCCACTGCATTCCAGCCTGGGCAACAGAACCTGATCTTAATTAAAAAAAAACAAAAAAAGTAATAAGTTATTTCCCTTTATTTATTTTTTATTTTTTGAGACAGAGTCTCTCTTTGTTGCCCAGGCTAGAGTGAGTGCCATGGCGTCAGCCTAGCTCCCAGCAACCTCAAACTCCTGGGCTCAAGCAGTCCTTCTGCCTCAGCCTCCCGGGTGGCTGGGACTACAGGCATGCGCCACCATACCCGGCTAATTTTTTCTATATATATTAGTTGTCCAATTAATTTCTTTCTATTTTTAGTAGAGACGGGGGGTCTCACTCTTGCTCAAGCTGGTTTTGAACTCCTGACCTCGAGTGATCCGCCCTCCTCGGCCTCCCAGAGTGCTAGGATTACAGGCATGAGCCACCACACCTGGCCTCATTTCCCTTTAGTTAACCATATTACCATACCCAGGTGACTAATAATCTAGTAAGTGAAGGCAAGAAACCTGATGTTTTGATTAGTCTGAGCAGTCTAAATGTGAATATATGTTGCACAAAGCCTATACTCCACTCTAGAACTCTTCTAGAGTTCCTCATTACTATTTATTTGAGCCATGAAAAACACCACTCCTTTCTGATGCTGGAGGTCATGTGATTTTATAAAAAGCTGCTGCAGCTAGCTTCCTCTCATCATAAAATTTCTCCGGCTCTACTATATATTTCAAAATTTTTTTGTCTGATCTATTTTCTCCCATCCCTTCCTCCCAACAGTGGCTCATTCCTCGCCTCAGTCTTGCCTCTTTAGATTAAATAATCAACCTGAATTTTTCTTTCTTTCTGTCTTCTCCCCACCCCACTTCCTTCACTTCTCACCCCTTAGGCTTTATCTACTGCAACTGGCAGGCACATGGCGGCATCACTCTCAACCCATCTCCCTGTGCGCCAGCCCTGCTTTCCTGGGAGGAGGGAGAGGAGACTGCAAGACTGATGATTGGACACTCTGTCATTGTGGAAGCCTGTGCACCTGGATCCCTACAGGTAGAGAAGTACTGTTCTAAAAGCAGACCTTAAAAAAAATTAGCTCATCCACATGATTTTTAGTTGAGGAAAAAAAGGAACAATTTTTGTCATCACTTGAATTATGTTAATACATGTATAGTTTATATACCTGTCATATTAAAAGTATATTGAGCTTGATTCTTTCCAACTTAGTTGAGTGACGGTGGGGGAGAAAAACTCTTCTTGAGCCACAGAAAGAGAAAATCTTATTTTCTGCCCTTCCTTGATTCCCTTCCATGGCTTTCCAATAACATTTCTGACTGTCACAGTCATTTTCCCTATTGCTAAGAACAGGCTTTATATCACATTTTAAATCAGTCCAGAAAGACCTAGCTCTAGGGTATCCTGTGGAATCAGGAAATTTCCACTATAGAAACATCCTGACAACATATTCCCCTGTCCAGGCTGGGAGTGATAAAACTTCTCCCTGCCATTTTCACGAGCCCACAAAATGTCAAAATACAAATTTGGGAAAGGATGCTTCAATTCCTTTATGCGAAGGAGGGAATTAAATTCATTAAGTCCAGGAGAAAAAAAATAATAACACTGAATTTTTAGGAAATATAAACATTCACAGTGGCTCACACCCACAACCCCAGCACTCTGGAAGGATTGCTCGAGGCCAGAAGTTTGAGATCAGCTACAAAATAAAAATTGTTTTTTTTTTAAATTAGCCAGGCGTGGTGGCTTATGCCTATGGCCCCAGCTACTCAAGAGGTTGAGGAAGGAGGATTGCTTGAGCCCAAGAGTTGGAGGTTACAGTGAGCTATGATCACACCATTACACTCTAGCCCTATCTCTTAAAAAAAAAACCCGACAGATTAATACGTTATTAAGATTTAATAATATTCCTGATGCACGTGTGAAAAAAATAAGGAAAAAAAAGATTTAATAAGATTAAATTCAGTGAGTCAAAATTAGAACATATGAACCACATTAAAGATGTCTAAAGTTATTGCCTTCTTTAGTTCTTAAAATCTGGTTTTCAGGAACATCTACTTGATTTATAACTATGAATCATTTTGCTTTGTTGTACCTTTTCCTTTAGAATTGAAAAATATAAATTATATGGAATTGATTACGTGAATCTTAATATAATACATGTTATTTAGTACTATTTAACTTTATAATATATGACAAACCAGTTAATAACATTCTCAATATAAAAGAATAATAAGGTATCACTAAAATACTATGGCAGACGCTACAACCTGCTCAGTATCCATGCCTTTCCTTCCTTCCTAACAGATCCCCAGTATGGATTAGAGCAAAGGTTTGTTTATCTAGGAAAGAAAAAAAAATCAATGTCCCAGGGTCACTTATAATATCATTCTGGTCAATAAATGTAAGTAGATTGGAGGGATTCTGGTAAAACTATTATTTTCAGGGTAGAAAGTGATAGACCCAATCGGCACACTTTGCCTTTCCCCCTTCTTTTTGCCTGGAGGTCAAGTCTTGTGACGATGAGATGGAAGTCATATGCCAAGGATGGTGGCCCAAGAAGGCAAAAAGAACAGCCTATGTATCTGCAGATTTTGTTGTATGAGAAAAATAAATATCTCATTTGTTTGTACCACCATTTCGTGGGCTTTTGTTTCTTGCTCTTGAAGGCAAATGACTAACACAAATACTGTATTTAGAATTCAGAATAAAGAATTGCAAATTTGAGGATTATTGGATCATTACCTTAACAAGTTTCTGCACATCACTTTTTACGAGGGTTCTATCCATGTTAAAGCCATTACTTGGATCCAGGACAACAGCTTTCACCTAAGAGTAGGGAAAGAGTTCATTAAGTAATTTGATTTGATATTATTAAAAAATTAGTTTAATGTTTCCATTTTTTAAATAACTACCTCTTGATTACTCAGGGGTTGATTTTTCAGCTATTTTTCTTATTAACCAAATCATCAGCACCTTCGTTAGAGGTTGAAGAAAGAAAGCAATAAACATCAAACCTGAATATGGTGCTAGAAAAGTTATGGAGACATAGGCTGAAAGCTATGGCTAGACTTTAGATTGGGAAACTGTGGTATATTTTATTGTATTTTTATTGTGTATTGTTAACCAAAAGCAAGAACAGAGAAACCACAGCAAAGAGCAATTTTTACAACAACGAACAAAATGCATATTAAAAAAATTCCTACACAGGAGAACATTATTGATATTTCTAAAACTCATCAAGATCTTCTACATCAGTCTCTATAAATCTAGCACTGACATGCTCTATAAACTTTTAAAAACTATTTTTCACAAACTTGTATGATGTCAGCGTTTTCAACTGAAAAACATCTAGGAAAGCATCATAGAATCTTAAGGGGAAAATGGGCACCACATAAAAAATTTTTAATAAAGCAGTAATTCATAAAAATATCCATTCTTACCATAAAAGCAATCAGAGTTTCAGAAATAACCTCTCCATGAGTTGCACATTCTTGTACTATTTCTTGAATGATATTCTTTATAACACTTTCTGCCTGAGTGGGAGGCATTCTGGCTAAATAAAACAATGATTGGTTTTTTAAAAATTGCATTTACACATTATTTTTCCTCTTTAGATTTAGCTACTATAATCTCTGTAAAGAGTCATATTATCTATTAACGTATTAATATTTAATTATTACTATCTAGGACCCTTCTGGTTTTCATTACTTTTTTATTTTTAAAAATGAAGGACTTTATTGATGACAGAGCAATTGGGACTTCCAATGACTGAAACATTTCCCACTTGATGGTGGGCACCAAAAGTATATTTATACCATGATATTTTTAAATTGAAAAAAAAGGCTAAGCAGTATTGGAGGGGAGGTAGAATAAATGAGAAATCCAACCCCCTATCTGTGTATGCAACAGAGAACAGCTTTAAAGGGGAAATGCTGATTCCTCCACATTCCCTAAATGACCTTTCATAACTGCAACAGAATCCTGAAGAACAATTCATGCTCAGTTCATCTAAATTGTTTTCTGCACATTCAAGTAGGAGTTCACTCTTGATGAAAACATAAATGCAAAAAGTCAAAACATATTATGAGAGTTATGCACCGTGGAAAAAAACGAACTTCTGGCTATTAATTCCATTTACTATAAACCAGGAAAAAGTGGTAGGTTTTAGTGGAGTCTCCTGATTTTTATGAGTATCAGTAACTGAGCACAGGGGAACCTGGCATGTAGAGTATAACAAAGGTAACACCAGATAGATCAAGTTAATTCTCCGTATTATCAGCGTTCAGCGTAAAGTAGCATTTGGCATTTTGTCCACTAAAATCAGATTGCTTGGCTTCCATCGTGACGCCACCACTGTGAACCTGTGCGACCTTGGCACTTGCTTCGCCTCTTTAACGAGGCAGTTTCCTCACCTGAAAAATAATGGTTACTATCACTACCTCTTCCCAGAGCTGTGGTGAAGGCTACGCGAGTTCTACATAATTAGTAGTTAGAATAGTGCGTAGCGTAAAGGAAGCGCTTCTTACACGACACTTCAAGCAACGCCCCCCCCCGCCCCGTGGCCTGTGTGCGCATGCGCGCTGCGGAGCCAGAAGCTCGACGTTGCTAAGGACGCTCGCCGGTGCCCTCTCCCAGAGCCCACATGCCAACCGCTAGATCTGGGGGTGCGAGCGTGGCCCAGCAGAGGCGGGAAGGCTCAGGCGCCCACGCAGTGCACGTTAGAGGGCTGACCTGCGGACCGGGGCGCCTCTGGCCGGAACTGCCCGCTGTTTCCGCTCAGCGGCGGCGTAGCAGGAGTGCTAGTGTCTGAGAGTCAAGTCTCGGCGAGGCCGGACAGGGTCCTCCAGCGGCCCAGGCTCGGCTCGCCGCCTGGCGAGACACAATTCTGGTTCAAGGGCGCGGAGCCACAGTGGACTGACCTTGGCTGGAATCGAGAGGAAGAGCAGTATCTATCCGACTCTGTCCTGAGGCCCTCACTGTGGCCTTTAGGGCAGTGGGGCGTTCTCAGCAACTGCCGCGTAACCATGGAGATCGAACGCTCAGGACCGAGGGGCGGGGCGCGCGGAAGGGCGGCATCGCATGAGCGGGGCTGGCAGGGGGACGGGCCCGGACGGGGAGGCGGGCCCTCGCGGGAGGCGGGGCTCGGCGGGAGGCGGCCCGCGGGAGCGGGGCCGACGGCGGGAGGCGGGCCGCGCGGGAGGCGGTCGGCGGGGAGGCGGCGCGGCGGAGGCGGGCCGCGCGGGAGGCGGGCGCGGCGGGGGAGGGGCCGCGGCGCGGGGAAGTGGGATAGGGTCCTATCTTGAGAGTCTTTCTCCAAAAGATGGGCGGGAAGACCTTTAAAAACAAAGAAAAACATAGAAAAGCCCCAGAAAGCTATCACCCCCTCAGCCAGTTTCCTCATAAAACAAGGATGTTAACTTGCTTATGTGGAAACATATAAGGAGGTTTGGATGAGAAAACTTGAGGGGTGCAAATGGAGTTCTTGTAAAAATGTCTAGTTTTAAAAAAACAAAAATAAAAAGTATTGCAGTTTTATTTCGCATCTTTTCAAATGAAGTCTGTAACAAGATGCCCCAAGATACCGAAAGAGAAAACTCATTCAAGAAGCACATGAAAAGGACCCATTCGTGTCTGGGGTTGGGATAATGAGGTTTTTGTTCCTTAGTAATGTTCCTGAGGCCCACCTTCAGACTTGGAAGTGTGAAACAGGATTAAACAGACCTTAGAAGCAGAGCATTAAATAACGACATTTTTTTTTCTAATGAGTGATTTTTCTCAAATTGCAAACAAATGTGCAGAATATTATTTGCTTAGAGCATTCCCAGAATACTAGGAAATGAATCAACCCAAAAACTCAAGAATAAATAAGTCATAGTATAAAAGGATTTTATTTATTTTCCCCTTCTACAAAATTTTAAGAACACAAAATGAAAAAAGATGAATCAGTGAATTCTATTGTAAACATATCCAAACCTCTAAAACAGTGGGGGCAATAGTGGTCTTTCTTAGAATTATAAACCAGGTTCAATTTCATACATGCCTAATGAGGACAACATGATCCAAAGCATAAAAATCTTTGCTATTTGTAGCATCCCTGGCAGTGATTCTCAACTTTAGAGAGTGAGGGACAACATATCAGCAATATATTGGCTGGTCCCCAAAATGAACTCTGATATGCCCTATTTGTTTATTTTGTATATGTGAAAAATGTTTCTGTGTGGCTTTCCTTAAAGGTGAATTTCTCCCTATCTTTTGCCCACTCACTCCCACACCCATCTCCCCAATCCTTAATGAATGATCAAGTCTTCATTGATGTCTCTTGAACCAGTTCACTTTTTCCATTCCCACTTCTGCATTCATTAAAGCAACTATCTTTTCTTTTCTTTTTTTTTTTTAGACAGAGTCTTGCTTTGTTGCCCAGGCTAGAATGAGTGCCGTGGCATCAGCCTAGCTCACAGCAACCTCAAACTCCTGGGCTTAAGCAATCCTGCTCCCTCAGCCTCCCGAGTAGCCGGGACTGCAGGCATGTGCCACCATGCCTGGCTAATTTTTTCTATATATATTAGTTGGCCAATTAATTTCTTTCTATTTATAGTAGAGATGGGATCTCGCTCTTGCTCAGGCTGGTTTCGAACTCCTGACTTCGAGCAATCCGCCCGCCTCGGCCTCCCAGAGTGCTAGGATTACAGGCGTGAGCCACCGCACCCGGCCGCAACTATCTTTTCTTGCCTCGATTACTGGAACAGCAAGCTAGTTGAGCTCCCTGCCTCTAGTCTGATATTCCTCCAATTCTTTCCTATGTCAAAAATATAAATCTGATCATGTCATTTCCCTGTTTAATACCTTATGAAGGCTTCTCAATGGCTTCTGGAGTAAAATTCCTTGGCATGCAAGGTCCTTCATGATCAGATCTCAGCTCACCCGTTCAACCTCAGCTTTCACAACCACCTTCTTTTCCCCTCAGCCCACGCACTTTCCATTCTCTGACCATTTTGAATTAACTTCCAATGTTCTCCGGCCTCCACACCTTTGCACTGAGGTTATTTTCTCTATTAGAATGCTCCTTTTCTTCTTCACCTGGTTAATTCTCCTGTGTCTACAGAAGCTAGCTACACTGTGAAACTTTCTCTGATCTGTAATACTGAGTTTAGGATTCTACACTTATACCTCATTCCAAAACATTTTCACTGCCTCCAAAGGAAATTCCATACTCTTTAAGCAGTAACTCTCCATTCTCCTGTTCCCCCACGACTTTCACCTGACAAAGCTCTCATTATTCTATGGAAGTCCATTTTCTTATCTGTCTGCCTCACTAGACACATGGCTCCTTGAAGGCATGGGACATGTCTTGCAGGAGTTTCCAGCACTTAAGAACAGAGCCTGGATGTAATAGTCATAGTAGACTATTTGGGTTAGAGAGGGAAGTATAGGAGTGAACGGATCATAAAAAAGGGGGCAGGAGAAAAATGTTTAGATGTCTTTAATGTCTTTACTGAAGGGTTAGGATGATTTCAGAAGGAAATTACAATTTTGGAGGAAAGGGGAAGATTCCTCAAAGAACTAAAAGTACACCTACCATTCGATCCAGAATCTCACTATTGGGTATTTACCCAAAGGAAAAAAGTCTTTTCAACAAAAAGACACCTGTACTCAAATGTTTATTGCAGCACAATTTACAATTGCAAAGATGTGGAATTAATCCAAGTGCTCATTGATTCATGAGTGGATTAATAAAATGTGGTATATGTATACCATGGAGACTACTCAGCCATAAAAAAGATGAATTAATACCTTTTGCAACAATGTGGATGGAACTGGAGACCATTCTCCTAAGTGAAGTGTCCCAAGAATGGAAAAACAAACACCGCATGTACTCACTATTAAATTGGAACTAACTGATTAGCATAGAGGGAAGTAAAAGTCAGTGGAAATCAATCAGGGGAAAGAGAGGAGGAGAAAAGGAGCAAAAACCTACCTAACAGGTACTATGAACACTATTTGGGTGATGGACACACCTTTAGCCAGGCCTCAAGCATTACAGAAGTGATCCATGTAATCTAAAACATTTGTATTCCCTTAATATCTTGAAATTTAAAATAAATAAATTTAAAGTAGTTAAAATTAAATGAAATTCAAAACTCAATTCTTTGGTTGCACTAGCCAAATGTGGCTAGTGGCTATTGTATTGGACAACAAAGATATAGAATAGCTACATCATTGTACAAAGTTCTCTTGCATACTTCCCTCACCCCTGCTGCACCTGAACTCAAACTTACTTCCAAATGACTCTCACCTTTAAATGTTCTGTGCTTTCAGAACTTCCTTTAATTGGATCATTTACTTTGCCATCTGTGCTCTTTAAAACATAGCTCAAATGTCATCCTGTTCAGTAAAGACTTTCCCAACCAAACCTCCCACCCTGTTACAATTGGTCACTTTCTCATTTGGGTGCCCACTGCACCCTCAGCAGACTTCTACCATAGCGCCCCTAACATCTACATCACCTGTTGCTGCTCATGTCCGTTTCCCTTTACTATAGTGTGGGCTTGGGGTGGGGGCAGGGACCTAGTCTTATTCATCTGTCTATCCCCAGCTCCTATACTAATGCCTGACATATAGTATATGCTAATAACTATTTTGTGAATTAATAAATATTACCAATAAATATTCTAAGGTCAAGATTCTATCAGACTTCAGAAACAGAGACTATCCAATTTAAATTCTTCACTGAGAGGCAAAAACTTTGAAAAAGAAATATGTTTTTAGACAAATCATCAAAATATTGTATATCCTCTCTTAAATCACAGTCTCATGCTAGAGTTGTGTTCTATTTAAAACCAATCCATGAGAGGAATGACAGTTTGAGTGGATAATTGAGATGGTTTGACAGGTATAGTGAGGTGAGACTGCACATAGAAGCAATTCTGACTTCAGCAATTACTAGATACACACCTACAATATTAAAAGCATAAAGATTTGGCTAGTCATTTTAATATTAAATGTCTAGGTGTAAAATCATTTATTAGGATATTTTACATTCTAAAAATAATACAGTCTCTTTATAAAAATTTGAGGGGAAAAAAACCACCACCCATAATTCTATTAATAAAAGATTATATTCTTAACATGTTTATGTAATGACTCATTCTATGTGTTGATTCTTGGTTGTTTTGCATTCTTCTTGTACCTTATGTTATTTTTTACACTCGACATTACAATACAGACATTTTTCACAACTTATGAACTGTTTTTTTTTTTGTTTTTTTTTTTGAGACAGAGTCTCACTTTGTTGCCCAGGCTAGAGTGAGTGCCGTGCATCAGCCTGGCTCACAGCAACCTCAATCTCCGGGGCTCAGCGATCCTACTGCCTCCGCTCCCGAGTAGCTGGGACTACAGGCATGTGCACCATGCCTGGCTAATTTTTTGCATATATATTTAGTTGGTCAATTAATTTATTTCTATTTTTGGTAGAGACGGGTCTCGCTCAGGCTGGTTTCGAACTCCTGACCTTGAGCAATCCGCCCGCCTCGGCCTCCCAAAGTGCTAGGATTACAGGCGTGAGCCACCGTGCCCGGCCTGAACTGTTTTTAATAGCTATATAATCTGCAGTTGAGTGAATGTGTCATAATTTACTGAAATATTCCTATTATTATTTAGCATGTTTTCAAGTTTGCACCATTATAAATAACACTGGAGTTATTTTAGTATAAAATTGTTTTGTATTGCATATAATTTCTCCAGAGAAGATTTCCAGATGTGAAATTTCTGAGTCTTTTTAATCTGTCTCATTTGCTACTTTATTCCTAGTACTTAGAACAGTGCCCAGCCACAGTTCAGATTCACTGCTGTGAAAACTTCTCTCAAAGTTAACATTAATCTACTCTCAGTATTTTTGAGGTGTTGCCATTCACC